GACCAGGTGGCCTACATAGTCACCTGGGAAGACTTGGCCCGGAACCCCACATCTTGGGCACGGCCGTTCCTACCTCCTAGGGGAACTGGAGAGACTAGCCAGGGGCCTCCTACCCCTTCTGCTCCCCTGAGTCTTACTTCTTCCCTCCTGCCCCTTCAGTCTGCCCCTGAAAAGAAGAAGCAAAAGCCAATCCTCCCTGAGGACCAAGCTTCCCTAACCCTCCTTGATCCTCCACCTCCCTATCTACCTGCGCAGGCACCTCCACCCCAAGAACTACCTTATCCCTCTCCTGATTCCACTGAACCTGACAAATCCCCTCCTCTATCTAACAGACTCCTCCTAAGGAGGGATAGAGGGGGCCCCTCTAATGGAACCTGGACTGCCCAGGTTTTTCCCCTCTGAACTGTAGGGGATCAGATTCAGTACTGGCCTTTTTCAGCCTCTGACTTGCATATTTGGAAGACTCATAACCCCTCTTTTTCCCAGGATCCTCAGGCTCTAACTGCTTTAATAGAGTCTATTCTCCTTACCCACCAACCCACCTGGGAGGATTGCCAACAACTCCTCCAGGCACTTTTAACTACAGAGGAAAGACAGCAAGTCATCCTGGAGGCCTGGAAAAATGTCCCCGGGCAGGATGGGAGACCCACTCTGCTTCCAAATGAAATAGACGCAGGATTTCCTCTGACCAGACCCAACTGGGACCCTGAAACCGTGGCAGGTAGGGAGCGTCTCCATCTTTATCACCAGACTCTGTTAATGGGTCTCAAAGGGGCCGGAAGGCACCCAGCCAATTTGGCAAAGGTACGTGCTATAACCCAGGGAGAAAATGAAACTCCCACAGGATTTTTAGAACGTCTGATAGAGGGATATCGGATGTATACCCCTTTTGATCCCACAGCCCAGGAGCGTCAGGCAGATCTTATTATGGCCTTTATAGGACAATCAGCTCCTGACATTTGTGGTAAGCTCCAATGGCTGGAGGGCCTTCAGGGGTACTCTTTACAGGATTTAGTAAGGGAAGCTGAGAAGATCTACAACAAGCGAGAGACCGCAGAGGAAAGAGAGGACAGAATTAGAAAAGAACAGGAAGCTAGAGAAGATAAGAGAGATAAAAAGAGAAACAAAGAGTTGAGTCGAATTTTGGCCACAGTAGTTCAGGGAACAGGACCAGGCAGGGACCTGGGAGACAAGAGAAGGCCCCGAGTGGATAAAGACCAGTGTGCCTATTGCAAGGAAAGAGGACATTGGGCACGAGAATGTCCAAAGAAGTTGAACAGACTTCAAAAGAAGACAACCCCAGTCCTGACCCTAGGGGACTAGGGGAGTTGGGGCCAGGAGCTCCCCCCTGAGCCCAGGGTAACTCTAAAGATAGGGGGGCAATTGACTACCTTCATGGTAGACACAGGAGCTCAACACTCAGTCTTGACCACGACCAAGGGACCCATGAGTTCCAGAACAGCCTGGGTCCAAGGGGCTACTGGAGGAAAGACATATAGGTGGACCACAGAAAGAAAAGTGGACCTCAGTACAGGACAGGTCTCCCACTCGTTCTTACTGGTCCCAGACTGTCTGTATCCCCTTCTTGGGAGAGATTTACTCTCCAAGTTGGGAGCCCACATCCACTTCACCAGAAAGGGATCCACTGTACAAGGAAAAGATGGACCTCCACTACAGGCATTAACCCTGCGACTGGAAGATGAACATTGGTTGTATGAGGGACCGATTGGCTAAGTAAAATCCCTTTAGCATGG